GTTTAGGCGGCTAGACATGACTTAGGCGGACTTAAGTAAATTTATTATATAAATAAGTGTCTGCTTAAACTTAAAAAAATATATAATTTCAATGGGATGCATAAACTGCAAAATAGATGACTTATAGATATAAAGTATTAGTACATAATTAAAATACGAGGAACTTGCATATGAGGAACAAGTCTCTTACAATTTATTAAAAAAATAAAATAGAAAATGAAAGTTATCTATTTTGTCTAAGTGAGAGTGGCAACCTAGGCGGGTTTGAGTGGGTGCCTAGGCGGTCTAGACGGGTGCCTAAGCAGGTCTAATTGTATTTTCTTAATTAATTTTCAAACATCAAGGGATTAATCGGGACTGTTGTCAGTAGCCTAGCGCCTAGACAAGACCTAAACAAAAATTTTTAAAACAATGTTCATCTGCATACATGATCCAACTGTTTGTCGATATACATACAAGTAAATTTAAAAATACAACGTCCTATCTTTGTTTTACTTGCATGGGTGTTGGATTTGTAAAGGTCGGGAGAAATTTTTGGTAGAAATATTTTTGTACGATTGTTGGAATAGTATTTCTAATTCGCGTGTTGTAAGATGATTGTATGATATTTTTCGCGTGTTAAAAATACATTATTATTAAAAAGAAAAAAAAGTAAATTTGAATTTAAGTTTAATCTCATTGTCCTACCGAAACTTATTTTGCCCAACTTTACCTACTTAAACTTGATTTTTTTTAACACTTTTTCACGTTCCATTAATTCCGTAAAAAAAAATAAATGACATTACACTACTTTTGAGTCTTTTTTTTCAGGGATTATGATTTTTTCTTCTCATTTTTCCATCTCATTTCATTATCTTTTCTCATATTTTCTATTTTATCTTTCTTTTTTTATAAAAAAAAAATTAATATAAAATGTTCATATGACTTAATCGTGACCGTTTAAATAAGAAAAGAAAAAATTGGAGGGGACAATAAAAAAATAAAAAAAAAATAAAAAGAAAGAAAGAAGAGAGAAACCTACTTTTTTTTTTTTTTTTTCCAGTGATTTGCGGGGATCGATAGATTGACGAAGTATATTGTTGTTATGAAATCCTAGTCACTGATTAACATGACATTTCTGACATATTCTTCAAATTAAATAATTTTTTTTTTTTTAAGAAGAGATCAGCTGGCAGTTCATCTTTTTGGAAGATAAGAAGATGCATAGTGATATTTCAATCTTTTCTTATTATTATCGTGTAATTTATCAATATTAGAAATCGAATTCAAAACTTATCGTGTAGAATATAAATCTGAAATTTATCTTTAACTACTAAACCACTTTATAATAGTTGTTCAAATTAAATTTAAGGATATATTCAAATTTGGAGTAGATGTGACTTATTTTTAATATTTCGTCCTTTGTTTGTAGGCTTTCTTTCATTGTTCTCTTTTGTCTTTACTTATCGTATACTATTCACTACACTGACTTTTATATATTCTTTTTTAAACGTTGGGAAATAATCTCACATCGGACATAACAAAAATAATATACAATTTATATGTGGACGTTAATTTATAATATCATTAAGGTTTTATGTGATAAATTACAACATCTTGTAACAGTTGATTAAGTGAGATAATATCAATTATGATTATGGTTAAGTGAGACAATATCGATAATGTTAGTGGTTAAGTAAGACAATGTCGATGATGTTGGTGTTGAGCCATGCTAAGCCTAAAAAAGTTATTAACTAATACAAACTAATCAATAAAAAGGAAACATTAGTAGTACATTAGTTTTTCATCAACTAGATGGTCTGAATTCGAGGTTGGGATTAGAATTGTAAATTGACTCAGAACAGTTCAAGTTGGACTTCTATTTGGTTCGTTTAAGCTCAATTCATAAGTAAAATGAGCTAGGCTTGAAATATGAGAGATGATTTTTACACATCTCTTTAAGTTTCTTACATATCTTTTTTTATTTTTGTTCATAAGATTGAACCAATTAAATGGAACGAACGCCCTCATTAAACACGAATATTTCAATAGCTAAAAAGAGAGTGTACTTATCATTTTCCTAAAATATTAGGCTCATTAGTAAACTTTGGTATATCCGGCTTATAAAGATCGTGAGCAATATTTTGTATCTTTTTTTATTGGACATGCACTCATTTCAAAGTTTATAGCCTACTATTTTGAGTATATTTAGGGATTGTTTTGAGCTGCTTTTAAAATGATTAAAAACATATTTTTTTGAAAATGTTTTGGAACGAATATTTAGTAAAAAAACAAATGAATCATGAAAAAGCATTTTAAGTGCTCTTGGAACTCAGAAACACCTTTTCTAAAAACATTTTTAGTTATTTTAAAAGTACATTAATTTTGTGTTCATTACTATGCTTTTTATAAAAAGAATTGTATCAATTTTCAAGTTTTATTCAGCCATGTCAACAAAAGAACTCGAGTTCAGCTTATAAACCAGTTGAGCTCGAGCTTGGAAATATCATTCAAGCCAAATTGGAGCATATGTTTACGGGCAGCAACTAAGGAGTTGGAGCACCTTCATACCCGACTTTGGTTTTGATTACTAACATATGTATTGGGTGAAGTTGTTATTATTTAGGGTTGTATGAGTGATGAGTTTAGTTTGTAGATAAACTTGCTCCTAAGTTTGTAATTGCAAATTAAATTTTCGAACGATTAATAAACATGCATAGTTAGGTTTTTCAATATGACTAATTAAGTTTATCATCTTAAAATTTATTATCACTTTCTTTTGTTACATTTCATAGATGAGTCTATAGACCTATCTAAATCTGAACACTAAAATAATCAGATTATAAATTTGATGACGATAAACCATGTTAGATTGTAAATGGTGAAGTGCTCCGAGTCTATAGACCTATCTAAATCCGAACACTAAAATAATTAGGTTATAAATTTGATGATGATAAACCATGTTAGATTGTAAATGGTGAAGTGCTCCGTTGAATAAAATCTTCCCTTTTAACTCACAACAGCTCGAGCTTAACCTCTAATTTTTCTTAATCTAACTTAGAGTGTAAGCAATCTATATTATAGTTATAAATAATAGGAAAATATTTTAATGAGAGTAATAATAAATGATATGAAAAAGTTGAAGTCAGAGTTGAAGAATGAGAGTGGTACTCATGGAAAATACGAATAGGGACAGATTGGATTGGAGGGAGAGAGGGAGCTAAGTCGCTAACTGCTAAGCAAACAAATGTTGGTTACAGCTGTATTCACGACCACCACTCTCCCCCCTCTTCTGGTCATCTCTTACTTTTTTTTCTTTTATTCCAGTAAATAATATAATCCAATGCGTATTAATAATAACTCAATAATATTATCCTATAATTTCACATTATCTATTTCCTATTCCTTTTCCTTTTTCCCTCGTTTAACAATTTTGTTCTCTTGATCACTCGACAACAAAAATATATGATCGTGTATTTACTAAATTTTATATTAAGTGTTAAAATTAAAACATTAGAAGAACATACGTACATTCTTAATCATCAAATGGCTGAAAAACATTTATTATGATATATTTATTTTTGCAATATTTCTACCCATATATGTATTCATGAATTTTGTTACGAGACTGTTAATCTTAATTTTATTTCAAGTGGTATTCAATATTAAAGAAAGAGAGGTTAGAACATGAGATGCAGTCTCTCTTGAGGTGATTAATCTTCATTGCGCGTTAAGTATTTTGTTTGAAATATCTTATTAGAGAATGGTATTTGGGGTCATGATTCATGCTCGAGGAGTGGTTTCTGTCGCATCCTGGCTCCGGACGGATCACTTCCCGGGCCCGCTCCACCACCGTAGCACGATATTGTCCGCTTTGGGCTTACCATTGCCTCACGGTTTTGTTTTTGGGAACTCATGAGCAACTTCCCAGTGGGTCTCACCCATCATGGGATTGCTCTCGCTCGAACTCGCTTAACTTCGGAGTTCCGATGGAACCCAAAGCCAGTGAGCTCCCAAAAGGCCTCATGCTAGGTGGAGATAAGAATATACATATAAGGATCACTCCCCTGGGTGATGTGAGATGTCACAATCCACCCCCTTTAGGAGCTTGATGTCCTCGTCGGCACACACGCGGCCAGGGTTAGGCTCTGATACCATATTGTCACATCCTGGCCCGGGAGGGGACCACTTCCTGGGCCCGCTCCACCATCGTAACACGATATTGTCCGCTTTGGGCCCCGATTACGCCCTCACGGTTTTGTTTCTAGGAACTCATACGAGAACTTCTCGATGGGTCATCCATCCTGGGAATGCTCTCACGCGTTACTCGCTTAACTTCGGAGTTCCCATGGAACTCGAAGCCTGTGAGCTTCCAAAATGTCTTGTGCTAGGTAGAGATGAGAATATACATATAAGGATCACTCCCCTGGACAATGTGGGATGTCACAATTTCCACCTTATATCAAATTCAATCTGTCGATTCTCTTCTAAATTATGCAATTTAGAATGCTCAAATAAATAAGGAAATGCAGAGGTGAAAAGATAAAGTGCAAACATCCCCTCCCTTTTAAGTTTATGTAGCTTCTTTATTATTGATTAAGGACTCATTTGGAAGTATTTTTAGAATAACTGAAAGCGTTTGTGGTAAAATTGGTTTTGGGCTCCAAAAGCATAAGTGCTTTTTGGAAGAAGCAGTAGATATGTGTTTCTTAGAAGAATCACTTAAAATGTTCTTTTAGGATTCACTTAAATTTTACTAAGGATAGATTTCAAAACATTTTCAAGCAATTTCAATAATTTTAAAAGTAATTTTAAACGAGTTCTAATCAATTTTTTCACATAGCATCGATATTTTATGTGACAACTAATATTATGTATTGGTTCAACGGAGAGTTTAGGTTGGCAATTTGTCAACAAAATCCACACATATGACAACCTAAGCATGACAAAAACATGACCATATAATAAGTTTTTCAATTAAATAAAAGAAATACACAGCGAAAGTTAAAAAAACAAGTAAAATACGCTATACAGTGATGCAGGTGCAGCAGAGTGAGAAGGGAAGAGAGAAAATGACGATGGTATTTTTGCTTCGTTTATTGTGAGAAGGTGTGTGTCCTCGTGATCCGCGCACAGCCTACTACGTGATATCCAAAGCAAACTCTGTACAGAAACATCATCAGCAGCAGCAGCAGCTGCATGTACCCACTTCCCATCTCTCTATCTCTCTGTCTCTCTGTCTCTCTCTCTCTGTTTACTACTGAGTCTGAGCCAATCCCTCTCTCTCTCTCTCTCTCTCTAGGAGGAGTTGTTGCTGAAGTTCACATCAATCATTTACTCACACTATTTATTGCACCCACATTCAAGAGAAAGAGATTTCTCTTATTGGGTAATCCAGTTTGTGGCGTCTCTCTCTCTTTCTCTCTCGTCCTTGTTCTTGTTTTGTTGGACTTCTGGTTCTCTTGCTGCTCAATTTCAGGTTTTGTTTCAGCTCCGCAACTTTTAGGTACTCTCTCTCTCTCTCTCTCAATTCACGTCTCTTTTTCTCCCAATTAACTTTGTTTGTGTGACTCTTGACTCTGCTTTTCTATATGTAATCTCAATGTTTCTAATATTTTTGGGGATTCCATTGTGCTGAAATTGTGTACTTTGGTTGGAAAAATTTTGTGGGTTGAGCTTGGTTTGATGAAATTTAAATTGGGTTGAGCTTAGTTTGCAGAAATTTGAACTGGGTTGGCTTGTTTTAGCTTCAATGCTCTGTTTGATGCATAAGTTTTGTTATCGAGTATGCTGGTGACTAATTACCCACTTATTGGTTTGATTAGTCGTAGATTTCAATTCAGTTGATTGCTAGAACCCTAATCTTTGTTGGTCTGATGGAAAACTGCAAGAGACGATGCGAGTAATGGAAGTTTTTTAATTTTAGGTCAATCCACACAAAAAGTTTCCGTAAATTGACCATAACCAAGCCAATCAGCTTTAGGTGAAGTCTTTGGGTTTTTTTTTTGGTTTTTTTTTTTTAACAAACGATATTATCTGCAGTAAGGGAGAAGGGGGTGAACTTAGCCTCACAATAGGCTAGCAATAGTGTGGTTCAAATCGCATTTGGCGAGAATCGAACCTAAGATCTCTCACTTATAAGTGAAGAGGAATATCATTTGACCATTGATACTAAATAACAGGTGAAGTCTTTGTTGAGTTCATTGAATTTTGTATGTGCATTTCTTTTCTCTGTTTATCTGTATTGACTGGACTCTGGTTGGCTTGAATTTAAAGGAATGCTAAGTTGGATTTAGGTTGATGGAATTTGATCAGAGTTTGTTAAATTAGTGTGAAACCGAGTCCAAGACTTGTCACAGGAGATAAAGAGGGCAAGTCAACGTTTAGGATTTAAGTATTAATGATTCTACATGTGTTGTAATATGAGTGGATTTGATGCACCACATTGGCATTCTACGTGGTGCAACAGATATGCACAGTAATTTCTTGTATAAATGAATTGAAACAGTGAAAGTATCTTATCTAGAGAACATATAGATGCACAGCTTCGGCTTTCTTTCTTTTAGCAGTTTTAAGTGTATTTATTTTCTTCCATATGCTTATTCTAAGAAGAAAGCAGAAACTCAGAGTTTCTCTCTGTATAACACCTTTGAATAATTGGTTAGATAGTTGTTAACTTGATTGAGGAACATTAAGTTACGTTAATTGATTTGCAGTAGGATTGTTTGATAATGACAGATACGGGATATTGCGTGATTTGTCCAATAAAATTGTGAATATGTTTTGGCCTTAGTTCGACAGTAAATTGATCAAACAGGGCTCTGCAGCCGTGCAAGTTGAAGACTCGGTGCAGCTTTGAAGCCGGGTTCTTGTATACAATCAAAGCTTTGCGCTTAAATTTATCGCGAATATAAACTCTTTTAAGTCCCTGACATTACTTCCTCCGAGATTGCCATCAAATTTCGTTACTTAATTCCCGGTGATCTAATTGTCACTATTCTGCTGATGCTGCAGGCCGTCCAAGAATATGGCTTTCGGTATGATGGGGAAGTTTTTGTGACGAGAATGGATCCTCAGGCTTTTATTAGGTTGTCAATAGGCTCACTTGGACTAAGGATTCCGGGAACACCTTTCAAATCTGAAAAATCTTGTATTCATGCATTCTCTTCCCAGTATTCGTGTGAAATTCGCCTTCGAGGATTCCCTATGCAGACAGCATCAATTCCCTTAGTTTCTTCCCCTGAAGCTACTACTACACCTGATTCTCTCAGCATGGCCTCGAGTTTTTATCTTGAAGAATCGGATATTAAAGCGCTGCTGGAACCTGGCTGTTTCTACAATCCTCATTCCTGTCTGGAGATTGCTATTTTCACAGGGAAGAAGGGATCCCACTGTGGTGTAGGGAACAAAAGGCAGCAAATTGGGACATATAAGCTGGAGGTTGGTCCCGAATGGGGCCAAGGAAAGCCAGTGGTTCTTTTCTGTGGATGGATAGCTATCGGCAAAAACAAGCACGAAAGTGGAAAATTGAGTGCAGAGCTTCATTTGAGAATTAGACTAGATCCTGATCCAAGATATGTTTTCCAGTTTGACGATGTGACGAAAGTTAGTCCTCAGGTTGTTCAGCTTCAAGGCTCCTTTAAACAGCCTATTTTCAGCTGCAAGTTCATCCGAGACAGGTGACGTGACATCACTTATCTTTATAACCTATGTTAAATGTTTAAGACTTCTGCATCAAAACTATGTGAGGTTTGTATTGCTGAGAAAAGAAACAAACATCGATGTAGTTTCTGATAGTTTAATGAATCTACAGGGTTCCCCAGGTGGATCCATTGAACACATACTGGTCAGGTGCTGCTAACAATCCTGATCTGGAAACAGAGAGAAGGGAGAGAAAGGGATGGAAGGTGACAATACATGATCTCTCTGGCTCGGCTGTTGCAGCAGCCTTTATAACAACTCCATTTGTTCCGGCAACAGGTTGTGATTGGGTTGCAAGGTCCAACCCCGGAGCTTGGTTGATTGTTAGTCCTGATCCTTGCAGGCCCAATAGCTGGCAGCCATGGGGAAAACTTGAAGCATGGCGTGAGCGTGGCATCAGAGACACTGTTTGCTGCCGATTTCGCCTTCTGTCAGAATGCCAGGAGGCCGTGGAGCTCTTTATGTCTGAAATCCGCATCAATGCTGAAAAGGGTGGGGAGTTTTTCATAGACACGGACAGACAGATGCGGGCAGTAGCAGCGGCAGCAGCATCCGCCAGTCCGATACCAAGCCCACAAAGCAGTGGAGACTTCGCAGGTTTATATCCATTTGTAGGTGGTTTCGTCATGAGCTGTAGAGTGCAAGGGGAAGGAAAAGCCAGCAAGCCATCGGTACAACTAGCCATGAGGCATGTGACGTGTGTGGAGGATGCCGCCATCTTCATGGCTCTTGCAGCTGCTGTCGATCTTAGCATTGAGGCATGTAGGCCTTTCCGTCGGAAGTTCAGGAAACCCTCCTGCCCTTCTATATGAAAATGTAAGAAAATTTGAGGAAGAAAAGAGCGGAAGGGAAACCGTGCACTGAAGAACCGTAGTTTCTCTTGATTGATGTACCATCTTGCATTGTGTACAGGAAACTCTTATTTAGAACTCTCAAAGATTGTTTAACTACTCATTCATGGTAGCAGTAAGCCGAAACGGTGTCATTATACATCACATTGGGCAGTACCTACTATTTTGTCATGGGTGACGGAATGAGGATAGTTTTTAGGAAAACATCCACTTTCGGGGTTGCCCCTGATAAGAACGAACTTATCTATCACCGATTGCGGGTTGTATGCAACCGGTTACACGTAAAATTTTCTCATGATAAGCTAATATTCAACGAGCAACAAAACAAAGATGTTACTTAAAAGAAAGGGAAGTAGGAACAAGTACAACTACGCTGGTTTCTTTTGATTCTATGTCGTTTTCATGCGTTACGGACTTAATTGGGAACAGACAGATCCAGCAGGAAGGAAAAGGACAGAATATATTTTGTATCTCTGCTCTTGTTTTTCCATTCAATATAGAGTCAGGGTCTGGAATAGCACAGTACCAAACAAACCGAAATTCAAAGATCGTCGAGGGCAAAAGAAAGAGAAGCAGCACGCAATTTCAATTCATATACAGGCAAGAGAATACGGCTCCTTAGAAAACAATGTGAAGACAACACACTCTGTCCATCGTTTGAAACGGAACAAAAGACGAAAGCGAAAACCACCCCGATGTTAGTAACGTTACCAAGCTATGACATTAGGCTTCTGTTATCTGGAACAGTGTGTCAACTTCTCCAATAACAGTTCGAGCTTCTTCAATTTCAGGGCCTTCCTTCTGGTTCAACTCTTCTTCTACTTCAGCCTAAAAGTAATTATCTTGCTTAGTGAATTGGGGCCAAAAGAGTTGGTACTTCAAACTAAGGTTAACCAAGACTTTTACGTACCAAAATTCCTTTCAGGTCAGCTAATGAGGCCTCCAAGCGTTTCCGACAGTCAGGAATCATCATCCTTGATTCAGCAAGCACATTTTCCTGTAAGGGAACCAAGAAGGCAAGACAGGAGTTTTATTTGGAAGGGATAGGCATATATCCATTGATCTTTTCGTTTCTTCAGTTGACTTCTCAATGAAGTAGCTTAACAAAGAATATACGAGAACTTCTCCAAGCAATCAGAAGCAAGCTTGTGTCCATGGCCTTTAGTTTGAACATTATCTGATGGGAAAAAATACTCCCTGACTTATACCTATTAGAATTAATGGATCTCCAAAAGAACATAGACAGTTGATAAACTAAGTTATGAAGTGTATATTGTGGGGTTATGTAATCTTAAACCTTTTCTTCTGTTAAAGTTTTTTGTAAATTACCATAATTTCTACAAACAAGCAAGCAAGCAAACGCATCTGAACATTTATGTGTACATGCAGATTGCACAATGCACTGATCAAGTCAATCTACATCTTATTAATCGCCTCAAAAGTGTTCCAAAGATTGAATCAGAGGGTAAAATGATCCATTAAAATTTCAAATAAGTCATCAGCTAACAGGAATTTGGCCCCAAATCTTATTAATGGTATGCTAATAACTATTAGTGAAAAAATAAGAAAGCAAAAATGTGGGACTTCTTTTTCTACTAGCAAGGTACTGAATGTCCAAATTTGTTAACAGGGGAAAAGTATACAAATCCCTTTCTAAAAACTATGAAGTTTAACAATAGAATGATAAACAAACAAGTAAAACAAGTTAATTGATGCCGAAAACATTCAAAAGAAAAAGGTCAACCTAACTTCAGAAATCTTAACAAAGTCCTATAAAAAATGTCTAGTAACATATTCCCACCACAGAGAATGATATATATCTAAAATGCATAAATTTCCAAACAACAGATGATAACTGACTCACATATCACAAACATAAAATATGACATAATGCCACAAATCAAGACAGCTAAGAACCATGTAGGGAGTTCAGAAACTCGTAAGTGAGCAAATTTGTTGTTGTCAACTAACCAAATGTTTGCAACAACTGCAAGACAATATAAATTTAAAGATGATGACAACTTAATGATGCCAGCTGGTGAATGATGCATGTCTCGATCATACCTGCTGCTTCAGGTCATACGGATCAGCTCCTTTCTCTTTCATGTCTGCTGTTTTGGCGGCTTCTCTCTCAACCTCTTTCTCGTAGGAAAGAAGCTCCTTAACTAGGCGTTTACAAGTACCAGTCTTGATTTTCAGATTTCTTAGGGTTGCCATTGGTGTCCTATCAAAAGATCATTTTCTTGATAAATGCAAAATACGAAACCCATGATCTAAAATATCGCATTTGAGCTTTATATTCAATCAATCAATCTATAATATGCTACATATTATAATTCAATAACAGACTCGTGTAATTAAACTAAAATTTATAAGCTATATATGGCAGATTCACGACGCCCTCATCTTCTGTTCCAGATCCCATTTAAAGGAAGTGTTTTTCTAACTAATTGAACAAAAGCGGGAAAGGGGTCGGTGCAGTTTGAGATCATTCTTGTTTTCTGAGACATTTTGATATAAATGATTTCAAGAACTGGCGGAGGCAGGAATATATCTTAAGGGGCACGAACTATACTACATCAGTAACAGTACCAAATAGCAACACTAGGATATAATGATATAAAACCCAGAATTCAAATGTTGATTAACAATATTTCTTTCATAGTCTAATATTCCTTCAAAATTGAACAAACTCCTTCACTCAACGGGCAGAACGATGCCCAAAACAAATGCCCACTTCCATCATTTCATGGTAGTGCTTCACAAGGAAACCCCACCAAGGATTCATCCGTCAGTGGAGCTATTTGCCTCACTGATCAAAATTTCAACGAAAAATAGCACACAAACAGCATAAACTAATCAAAATGTAGGCTCAAATGCACAATATTTTAGTTAAAGATAGGAAAATATACAGATCCACCAGTGGGAAGCATTCAGTAAAGCGAACATTGCTCTTATATTTGAGGAATGTCTTTTAGAACCCTTCACAGAGAGAGAGAGAGAGAGAGAGAGAGAGAGAGAGAGAGAGTACCTGCGCGTACAAGAGAGGAATAGCAAACAGGAGCAGAAGATTGTGCAAGATTAAATACACGCGATGAAGTGAACAAGGTGACGGAGAAGGAGTGTCTTTGGTCGGTTTATGGTGCGGGAATCTGAGTTCGATTGGAGAGTCGGGGGAATCTTGGCCCCGCGGATTTGCTGTCTCAAACCTATTGTCTCCTTCATACTAGTTTTCAATCCAAATCGAGTCACCGTCAAGTTCAATACTAATTATTTTCCCATTCTTTATCCCAGTGTAAAATTACAAAAGAAATCATGGATGAAGCGTGAGTGGAAGAAAAAGAAAAGAAAAACAAAAAAAAAGGTAAATTACCACCTTCTTCCAAGTTTGAGGTTTATTGGAACCTTATACAATATTTTCAAAAAATTAATTTTCATATCTCAAGTACTATTTTATTTCAACATAATACATCCGTTACATTTTCCATCATTTGGTCCATTAAAAACTAACGTTGCTGCCACATTTGTACCATGTGGTAACCACATTTGTGCCACGTGGCCAAAAAATAATTTTTTATGCATTAAAAATATTATAATATTTATCCTATTGAAAAAAATAAAAACCCTATCAAACCCAAAAACCATCCCCGACCCACTCCCTCTCCTTCGCCCCACCCCATCCCACCCCCACACCCCCCCCCCCCACCCCCCCATCCCACCCCCACCCCCACCTACCCCGTAATCTCCCATCCCACCCACCCCCACCTCCCCATTTTGCCCTCCAGCGGTTGATAATTTTCCCATTGTTCTTGAATTTGGTTTATATTTTCCATTTTTTTTTTATTTTTTTTTATATTATTGTTGGGTTTCTACCGAATGGGTTTTCGATTTGGGATTTTTGATTTGGGATTTTTGATTTGGGGTTGTTTGAATTGGGGTTTTTGATATGGGTTTGATTTGGACTCTTACCTTAACAGGAACGAGTCTTTGCCGAGCTCCGATTTTGGCGAGGAAGAAACAGAGAATGGAAAAGAGGTAATGGTGTTGGAGGAAGATAGCGTGATGATGGTTCACAAAGCAACTTTGATAGACTAAGAAGATGGTGGGATATTGCAGGGGAGGTGGGGGTGGGTGGGATGGGGGGTTGTGAGGTAGGCGGGGGTGGGGTTGGATGGGATGGGGCGGGGGAGAGGGAGTGGGTCAGGGATAATGGTTTCTGGGTTTGATTGATATTTTTTTTTATTTTTTATTTTTATTTAAAGGATAAATATTTTAATATTTTAAATGCATAAAAAATTATTTTTTGCCACGTAGCACAAATGTGGTAGTCACGTCAGCATAAATATGGCAATCATGTTAGCTCTTAATGGACGGATGTATTATATTGAAATAAAATAGTACTTGAGGTATGAAAGTGAGATTTTTTGAAGATGTTGTATGAGGTTGCAGTAAACTTGAAACTTGAGGGATAAAATGTAATTTACTAAAAAAAAAAAAGGAAAAATTAGGGCATGATCCCTCAACTTCATCCCAATTGCGTTTTAATTGAAAATCCATGAGTATTGATCTCTAAAATTTTCTAAATGTGGAACATAGTCCTTTTGAGGCTTTGAGAGACACCTTGAGAAATTTCGACTAAAATAAGGAGTATAAAGGGACAAAAAGGGCAAAAGTTAAAAGACCGTTGCTCCACATAACAAGTTCATGACCAGTACTCAAAGATTTTTAGTTCACAAACCACAACACCAATTGGCCTAAAATTCAAGACATTGCTCTAATTTTGTACATTTTTCCTTGTATATTCTTATACATCTCTCCTAGTTGATATCTCCTTCACTAGCTCTTCTACATTTACCAATTCGTCATGCAGTTCTTCTCTATCTTCAACACAAAAATTAAAAATTAAAAACTAAAAACAAAATAACAATTAAACTCATCATTAGCTTTTCACAATAATTCTTTCACCAACTTCGAAACAGATTGAAAAGTTCTAACTGAACTTATAGACTCTACAACAGTGTTCTAAAAATCAGCCTAGGCGCCTAGGTGTTAGGTGTGGGTGTGCCGATGCGATTAGGTCCGAATCGTTAAGAAAAATTGAGG